TTTTTTTTTTTGGCTTGATTATTAATTGGTTTTTTGTTGGTAGTGTTTAGTGAGTGATTAATTTAATATTTTACTTTTTGTATTTCAGTTTATGAAACTGAGTTTCAGATTAAAAAAGTAAAATAAAATGATTATTTTTAATTTAATGTTTTTTTTATTAAAAAAAAAAAGAAAACAAAAAGGAAATCGGAGAAGGACGGTCTGCGTGGTTGTGTGGAATGGATCACTGACGGGATCCACCAACCCAAACAATAGCCTCCTGTGGACCTGAAAGTGTATTCATCGGTAGGAGTTACCTGCCTCTAGGGTTTGTTAACAGTGAGTGGCGGTGGGCAAGAGACCCGTAATGCACGATTCCCTAGTTCGACATCGATTACTGGAAGAGGTAAGAGGAGAATCTCTTTGGAAGTTTAATAGCTGTTCTCAATGTTGAGTCTTTTTTGTTGTTCGATCGACCAGTCTCGAGTACTTGTGATGGATGGAGATGGACTTGTTTCGTATTACTTGTACTGAGTATGGACGTAAATACACGATGTGTGGCGCAGATCTCCGCACCGCCACATGTTGTCTTTCTTTGCTTTTTCCTTGTCTCCAGCCGGGCTGAGCTGATCGACTGTCGCTTCGCAAAGAAAAAAAAAATAGATTGACTTAATCGATTTAGCATTCAGTAGTTCCATTGAACCATATCGGACTGTCCGCCTGTCAAATCGTCCCAACAAGGTTCCCGGCGGGTGATTCTCCCATTAGTATCCGACTCGACAATCTCATTGTCTATCTGCTTTCCCACTTTCGGAAGGTTACACGCCATCAGCTGTCATCGATCCGCCTTTTGACTATTGGATTGGCTTTGCCGGATCGTACGGCTGCTCATCCCATCCGTGCTTTTCTGCCCGGTTGATCCGCGCGCTCAGATCATGAAGTGAGCTTTTCTCCTCGGTCCGTCTACGATCAGTCCTCAAAGGGCTTCAAAACCCCTCCTACACTCTAGCCCCGCTTCTCTGAGATTCCAATTCGGACTATCGACGGGAATCTCGAAGAGGTAATGAAGGGTGGAGATACTTGTCCTGCCTCCAAAGCCCGGTGACTGTGCGCCTGGCGCGCTAGGTGATAGTGAACCTGCGCCGCTTTTGTGCCTCCATTTCCCCTCCTTGCCGATCGCTGAAAGAAAGGGAAACCCCCCCAAGGATTTGGTGGCGGTCGTGACGATAGCAACTAGTCACTGTCGCCAATGATGCCAGCGAGTGGAAAGGCCATATCGCTCTATCCGAGAACGGACGTCGAGTAACTGGGGTTGCATCTCGTCATGTGACATAGTTTCCTTTAGCTGCAGACACCACCACGTTCGCTTGGATTCAAGGCACCATCGCTTGTGCACAGGGATCCAGCTTTCGGGTTTCAATCCCGGTTAAATTTGCCCCGGCGTATTCCATCCAATCTTGGGGCCTTAAGCGTGGCAAGGCTCAGTTGACCAGGAACAATCAACCCAGTCCCCGACTAGACTGTCGCCACGTCGACCCCGAGGCAGCCCCATTTCCCGCCCAGGATGTTATTTGCTCGCCCATAAATTTCCTAGATGGATTATATTCGATGTAACTCAGCCGATTCGGCAAAAAACCGGGAATCGAATATTTTGATATCCTGCTGTTATGGTGTGACCGGAGAGTTGCAGCCTGTCTCTGTTACCTTTCACAGCCCAATAAGTCATATTCACATGCTGTGCTGGGATCTTCGCAAGAAAACTCTTGCTTGTAGTATGTAAAATGATTGCTTTGTCGAGAGGCCTGGGCCACACGATTCCCAGCCCAGCCCAAGACACCCACTACTATTGTGTATGCATAGCTGGCCCACTGTTGTCTGCCAGATGTCCGTTGTGATGTATGCAGTGGCACTGCAGTCCCACGCCGAACCCGCCCGAAACCCCTCGACATTTCATGCATCCAACGTTGTTGCGTCTTCCAACCTAGTACTCTAGACCATCTATCCTGCATGGTGACGTTGTTATTTGGCTGGAGCCCAAACCAGTCTCACTAATCCCGAACACTTCCGTTATACGGCTGCGGCACGTGTGCCGCCTGACCTACAGAAGCAGTTGGAGATGGAATAATGTGAAATCCAACCGAAGCAGCGTAAACACATGTCGGGCAGGACATCCCTGGTTAGATATTCGGACCCTCCGGTAACTGCTGCCGTGTGGCCCTCAGACAATGCCGTAACCCTTCCACCACACACCCCAGATCATTGGCCCTAGTGCTCCCAATACAGCCGCACCTACTGGGATTTCCAAAATGCTCCACACCCACAGTGTCCCAATAGAAGGTGCTCGCTTCATGACAGCGTAGTATGGCTCTTCGTTAGTCATAGTCATCAGCTTAGCCCCCAGGTAGATAGCAAGCGGAAGGAAGACCATCGTCCGCAATGACGGTGGGAAAAGCAGTTTTCGAAGAAACGCGATCGAGAGTTTATCTCGGTGGAATGGGACGAGTGAGACGTGTTCTGAGCTCTGGGCATCACCGAAGGACACGATATGCCCATGTGCCAAGTGAATAGCAAATGTCAAGATCGGAAAGGCAACGAATACGGATTCGCGGATAAGTTTGTCCAACACGATGTATTCTGCGTATTGATGAGCCGCGAGGTACGCTAACGTCATGTGTAACGTCGTCAGGGGCACCGAGAGCAGCACCGTGTCGATGAACGGTGGGATTGGCACGTCCTCGTCTTCCTCCGACCCTGAATTCTCGTCAGATGGTGACCCCGTGTTAGACCCTTTCGTTCCTTGTTGTTTGTTTGGGAGTTCGGATGCGTCCAAGTTGGAGATCTCGCCGGACGTCGGGTCGATGCTCACGAATCGGGTCTCCATTCCAGGGGTCGAACCGCCCGTTCCGGTCGAACTCCTGTCATGGCCCAGGCCTAGAAGTTCATTCTCCCGCTCAGCTATCAATTCGACTAGTGTCCTTTCTTTCGGGTTCTTTGTGGTGTTTCGGGGTGGATGGGCCATCGGGATGGAGGACGGATCGAAGGTTGAGTCGGCGTCGCTCTTGGAGGCGGCGGCTGCTGCTCGTCGTTGCTTTCGATTCCTAGGTGCTTCCATAATGACGGGTAACGTAGAGAATTCTATTTTATAAGCAATTCGATGGTTGTTGGGCTATAGGTGTTTGCACGGTTGGTTGTCGATGGAACAAGCTCACCTGTCAAGCTCGGGATTAAAATAAATGTTTACGATCGCCGCCGGACATTAGCGGAGTTAAAACGTTCCTATTTATGGACATGTCATATCATGCAATTCTATACACACTCCTTAAACTGATAACTGAGAGTATTTGACCTGAACATGGCTATGTCAAAAAGACAACTTTTGCAATATATGAGTATCAATCAGGTACTCCAGCATATTTCCATCGAATTGTCTCCGCGAGTGTGCGTCAGTCCAACGGAACGCGCCCGTCACCAAGCTTCCTCCTGGCTTCAGAAATGAAACAACACCTGGGAAATGAAATATCCTAATATTCCTCCGCTGATATGCTTATACACTTCTCAAGATGATATATCTAACCTGATTGATAGAGGGCTGGGCCAGCAACTACGTGGGGATTGATCATTGATAGGTTGAATGGACTCAAATAGGGGTCTGAGTCTGTAATCGCAATGAACATGGTGCCGTTAACTGCAGGGTCTCCGGCATAAGTTTGAACGTCAGGCTGAATTGTCGATCCACAGTTATCGCTGGTCATTTCTAGGGGAGAATATGTCACATTCAATTGCGTTACCCACACTACGTACTTCGGATCTCCAGCGCTCGTCGAGGTGATGTAGCTGTTGTTAGGTCCGACTGGTCGAGCTGGTTCATCCCAATGCAGGAAAACCTCTCGGCCTGGCCATGACAGGGGTAGTGTGCGGTTGTGCGTGATCGCAGGATAGCAGCTAAAGCCCAGGGTAGTCGAGTTGACACAAGAGGCGTCGATGGGGACAGCGGTGCTGTTCAATGAATTCACACCTCCTCCTACGGTCTCACTGAAGGCAGCTGATCCGTTGATTCTCATCGGATTTGGCTGGTTTTCGATGTATAATGCAGGGAAGTTCTGCCAGGCCAACCTGGTCTGATTCTCGGGGCACGAACTGATATATGGTGCCAGTAATGTCCAAGCCCAAGATTGGGGCACACCAACCTCAAACCAGACCGGCATCGGAAAAAGTCCTTCGAATTGACGAAAAATCATTTGCTGTCTAGCTTCTGTGGTAATCGACTGGAGAAGGGATATTGCTGCTTCGCGCGAATTGAGATGAGGCAGGAAGCCATAAACACCAGACTCCCCAAAGCGAGTAAGCTTCTGACAGAAGTCCACAAACTCGTGTACCGTGGTATACGGATAGTTATAGGTACACATCCTAGGGGCTTCGGCGCCCAGTATGTTGGTAATCATCGTTGCATGCCCAACCTCCTGGTCCGCCATAAACTCGATCAAGAAACGATCCTCAGCTGTGAGCCCAGCAGCTGTGAATTCTTCTACCGAAAAGCGGGCTAAGCCATCGTGGAAGAGATCTAGCTCGGTATATTCTTGATAAAGAGCAAGAGCCTGGTATAATAGTCAGTCTGGGCCCTTTGAGCTATAAGCGATCTATTAACATACCAACGACTCATAGTCGAAGTCGCTCTTCGCGTTGTAAACCGGCGTTTCTCCCCCAGTTCCAATACCCCCAGCTGGGATATATGGACCTGGCTGAGGGTCGTGGAGTTGCCCATCGCTAGGGTAAGTTGTCGCTGTGGGCGAGATCCCCGGGCTAGGAACCCCAGTGCCTATTGAAGAAGCATGTAAAGCCCCGGTGGTGGTTGGAGTGCCACTGAATGGAGTGTGGGTCAGCGAAGTTGGGTGACCGACCACAGGTGGAACAGTTGTAGATCGAACAACTTTTGCCTGGGGAACTGCCAGTATCCCTGGCACCCAGCTCAGGCAACTGAGCGCAATAAATCGATTCCAAGGCATCTCTAACCGCTAACGCGATCAGATAACGTCGAATTCTCAAGGATATGTATATACAATACCAACTTGGAAAGCAGCTGGTTGAAGTTACGAACGTTGGTTATGGGCACTGGCAATTTATAAAGATTCCGTGTTCATTTCATCAGTCACTGGACCATGCCTGACGCAATTCCTCTATCATTTCGTCTGTCCAGAATTCTGAATTTGACCGTGATGATACCGTCATCCATGCCTTGTCATATTGCATGCGTAATACATGCGGCATGCGCATGCCACAACCATTCAATTGGCAGCAAACGGATGCCTAGAACGGGTAGAAGTACCTTGCTATTGATTATCGCTTCAACCGTTGTGGAGAGGCCTGCTCCTCGGCATTTTAAATCCTTCCAGTTGACTTCGATAGGCCGTTGAAACAGCAATACCGTTCATGTTAAACCCAATCACGGTACATAGCGCCTAAAAGTGGGCTTGTAAAAGTGGATCTTCTCATCCACGATGTTGACAGGGATAATATTGCATATACATAGTAGGTAAATTAGTGGTGAATGAAATTGTACATTGCCGCTGCTATTATGTGAGATCTGGCAATCAAGTGCACCGGACGACGTTGGAGCTATTAAGCTGGCTCATCGAGGCTTGTATCGGTCACTGCCATGCTCAGAATCAAAAGACATAGATCGTTATACGGCCTGAAGAATTGGAGTGCATATGGTGTGAAAAAGTGGGATCGACGAGGATTGGAAGTTGATAAGCCTGGGTTTTATTCAGTTTAGGCGCAATGACGGAAGTAACGGCTGGCTCGGAACGATGACGTGAAGCAAAGCTCACCTATTCCTGGAAGGTCGCATCAATTAGAACTAGAACCCGATGGGCCGAATACCGAGGGCCGGAGTGCTGACCGAGAATATCTTGTAGCAAGTCGTGGAGTGGTTTTGGTTCAGTGTTATGCGTTCCTGACTCCGGTACTCATTGTATGTTCCACAGACCTGAAGCTGGCTTGCCGCCGTCTCGTGACACAAAAGCCCTAAGTTCAGACAGATGATCACCGGCTTTGAAGAGAATTTTGCCATGGTAGAGGACATATGCAACCGTTCTACAAAGGGAGGTTTTAGCTTTATGTTACCTTGAGGGTGTTGTTGGACATACATTAGTACAAGGTTGGATCAACTGTCGACACCCGCGATTTGATTAGGTGGGAATGCGTTGACAATGGTATTATGTAGGATAGATTGAAGTAGCCCTGGGCTCTAAAGGGCGTGGAATTAGGGTACTACATTTAGATCTCATGATATAAGATGTATGGTACCTAGATTACCTGTCGTGATAAGTGGCCGCTGTTGAAAGTAGACCCTAAAGTACGTAGTCTTGACCTTCCAGGAAGATGCATTCTACTACTAGTGGGGACCACATGATCTTTAAAGGATTCTAGTTATAAATAAAAGACTTGAAAGAGCAAACACTGGGGAGGTCTTGAGGATTTACCCCGCAGGCATCTCGGTCCAACCCCGAGTGGGGAAAATGACAATTCTTTGAAATAGTAAAGGCTTATCAATCAACTCACTTCGTTCTTTCACTTATTTCTTAGCATATTTATGTAAGAAGAGAATACGACGCACACGCTAGTTCACTGGACACCCTTGTCAATTGCGGACCTTTACGAACATCATCTTCATCCAAACATGTCTCACCTTCAACCCTCGAGTCTATTCTCCGTCAAAGGACTGGTCGTAGTCCTAACAGGAGGGGGAAGTGGTAAGTACAAGCAGCACCATTGTTTGCCCTCGTATTTCCTTCTTCTACAACCAATACGCAAGTGACAAGTCCACCGTATCACCGCATAAATTGCAAAACAGGCCGCATTGAGCCAAGACAAGCAAAGAAAAGCAACGAACCCCCATCACAAAGTACCAGCTAACAGCAACACCACAGGCCTAGGCCGTATGATGGCCCACACGCTCGACACAAACGGCGCATCCAAGATTTTCATAATTGGCCGTCGACAAGAAGCCCTGCAAAAAACCATCACGCAAAGCCCGAACAGCAGCAGTAGCGCCATAATCCCCATTCAAGGGGATATCTCCTCAAAAGCATCCCTCGAAGCAGCATACCAGGCTATCGCAGCACAGACAGATCATGTTGATCTCCTCATCGCTAACAGCGGCATTCTCGGCCCACAGGCCTGTCCCCCGCCTCCCAAGCCAGACGGATCCCTCCCCAGTCTCGCCGAGGTCCGCGATGCCCTCTGGTCCGTCCCAACGGAGGACTTCACTAAGGTCCTAGACGTTAATGTGACCGGTGCTTATTATACGGCAGTGGCTTTCCTCCCGTTGCTGGAAGCGGCGAATAAGCGACGGCCGGCGCCTGTGAGGAATCAGATTGCTGCACCTACTGCGCAAGTTATTATTACTACTTCTATTGCGGGGTTCAATCGGAAGGTGCCGGTTAGTGCGGCGTATAATCTTTCCAAGGCAGCGGCGAATCATTTAGTGAAAATGCTTTCGACGACATTGGCATCGTATGATATCCGAGTTAATGGCATTGCGCCGGGGATTTATCTGTCTGAGATGTCGACGCCGAATTTTGAGGGGAGTGATAAAGGAATCTCGGATGGGTCGTTTAAAAAGGAGTTCATTCCTCTTACGAGAGCTGGTGGTGAGGAGGATATCGCTGGGTTGATTCTCTATATGGCGAGTGCTGCGGGCGGTTATTTGAACGGGAATATCACCATCAGTGACGGTGGAAGGCTGAATACTGCGGTGGCGACGTACTAAGGAGAACATCTTTGGCTTTCCTTTATGGTTCCATCCCATGTCAATATGTAAACGTTAAACTGGAGATACATGCATTGACTTTTTCTCATCATGAGCAGACACTACATTACAATGCATACCGGAAGCTGATGGGAAGACACGGAGACTAGGGTTGCAGCTTGGATAAATCAATGCTGAAGCGGATAATAAACCAACCAGTTCATTCAGTAAGTAGCCGTGAGCCGCTGGACTAGATAATCCCCGGCAACAATTCCTGGGTACTTCGCTTCCTTGATGTCACCCCCATAGGTACCAGGGATAGCCTCGATGAGTTTGTTGTTATTGGGGTTGCAGAAATATGCGATGCTGTAGCGGTCTGGGTACATATCGGAATTGTCCTCCTCACCAATGGGGGGTGGTGGTTCAACGACGCGATGACGCGTGCTCTTTATCAGATCATTCGACCACCGAGCCAACAGGTCACCCGCATTGACGACCACTGTATCTGCGATGGGGGTCACATCGACATAAGTATCTTTGGGGCTGCGTACTTGGAGGCCACCGCGACGATCTTGGAAGAGAAGCGTGATGGAGCCATAGTCGCTGTGCTCACCCGCACGAACCTGCGATGGGTTCTTTTTGAAAACTTCCTTCGACACAGCTGGATAATGCAGCAATCGAAGATTATTGTCTCCTGCATCTACATAGGAGTCAAAGTAATGCTCCGGTAAGTTCATCCCAAGTGCGATGGCGCGCATCACTTCTGTGTGGAGGGATCTGCACATGCTGAAGAATGATGTCATGACTTCTCTGAATTCCTTGCCTTCGTCGTCAATATGGTCCGGCCAGCGATTAGGTTGATTGTCCAGGTTATCGCGACCAATCTCCATGGTTTCCTTGAGATCTGGGGTAGCTCGGAGAACTTCAGGTGCCGTTGGGTCGTCCACGTTGCTCAGCTTCTCTTGTCCCGTCTTCACGTAACCACGGTTCGCCTGTGGGGTAGTCCAGCACAGACTGTCTTTCTGATCCTGGGGTCGCGCAAAAAAGCGTGCAGATGAGCCAAACACCCGGGAGACGACGGACGGGGGAAGACCGTGCTCCTTGAGATAGAGGAAACCGGATGTTTTGAATGCTTCTACGATGGAGACGGCGACGGCATGCTTATCAGCGGGGGTTCCGTTGAGAAAGGGGCCGAAGTCAATGACCTACAGTTATAAGTCAAACGCTCAAGATATATCGATATGTGAGTAGATCAACAACTTGGATAATATAAGAAGAGCACTGTGTTGAGCTTCAGCTATTGTACTCACTGGAATGACAATATCATCTTTGTCAACGGCGGTGGTTGCTGGATGACATGACTGCTGCGGCAGATTGCCCTCCATTTTTGGAGCACTACGGTTCTCAGGGCCACAGAGAGGGTATGTTATAGAAGTGTAGAGGTTGATGAATAGGAATAAAATATATGGGAATTTATGGAAAGGGAGAGGTTAGACGTTAAATGGAGTGGTGGCGCAAGGTGAAGAGAGTGGAATGACTTGGTGAAGTCACGTCTACTCCACTGGACCAGAGGCGGGACATTTGAGAAAGACGAAAGAGAAAAACGAGGCGATCATTAAAAGAGTTGGTAGGACTTCCCCCGTGACCTGCATGAGAATGATATGCATCCAATAGAGCGGGGAAGATAATAAAATACGTAGTACCTACTAAATAATGGATGATATCTAATCTTATCTTCTTTACTTCGATCGTGGAACGAGAAAGATAACAACAGTCATTGGTTTAGAGATTAATCAGGCCATGATAACAGAAAGAATTCAATTTGTTTACATTATTGTGAGAAAAGAGTGATCTCGGAGATGAGGTACATCGTACATTGTGACCCCACCCTTATGTTCATATGCATCGACTCCTCAACTTCCCCTCTTCTTCACTGTAACCTCATCAACCTCACAAGCAAAGTCCCGATCTCCCTTTCTCTTGACACAGTTTCACCTCTCTGCAAGGCTCAGAAGAGCAGAATAAATCATGCCACCTCTAATTGTTGACATTCATACCCATGTCTATCCTCCTGCGTATATGGAAATGCTCCGCGCTCGCAAGAGTGTCCCCTATGTCCATGATCCAGCTAATGGGGCAGACCCCCGTTTGATTATCCTGTCCTCAGATGATGACCCTTCAATTCCCCTCGATGAGCGGGGTCGTCCAGTCGACTCATCCTACTGGAATATCGACGTGAAGCTGGCCTTCATGCGTCGCCATGGAATCAACTGCAGTGTGATTTCCCTCGCCAACCCCTGGTTGGATTTTCTCGAACCTGAAGAGGCACAAACTTGGGCGCAGCGTATCAATGATGATCTTGAAAACACATGCGCACGCGTTAACAAGGCTGGTGACTCAGACAGAACCCTGGCGCTACACGAGAAGGAATCCCTATATGCTTTCGGTGCGCTGCCGCTGAGTGCACCTAGCGCTAATATTGTCGTGGAAGAAATCAAGAGACTTAAGACCTTGCCGCATCTGCGTGGGGTCATCATGGGAACATCAGGGTTGGGGAAAGGACTGGACGATACCCAGCTAGATCCTGTCTGGGAGGCGCTGCAAGATACTGGGTCACTTTTATTCTTACACCCACACTACGGACTACCGGACGAAGCTTTTGGTGGCTCAGATGCCATGAATCGATACGGTCATGTTCTCCCGCTGGCTTTAGGTTTTCCCCTTGAAACGACAATTGCAGTGACGCGAATGCTTTTGGCGGGTGTCTTTGATCGGTTTCCGCGGCTGAAGATCTTACTGGCTCATTCCGGAGGCACGCTTCCCTTCCTTGCAGGACGGATCGAGAGCTGTATCCATCATGAGCGCAAGTTTATTGCCAATGGTGGTGATGTGCATGGTCCTCAAAGGAGCGTGTGGGATGTCTTGAAGACCAATATATATCTTGATGCTGTGGTATATGGCACCGCTGGCTTGCAAGCAGCAATGGCAGCATCCGGAACAGATCGTCTGCTTTTTGGTATGATTTTCTTCAGAAAACTGCTAGTTCAATTGTGGAACTCGCTCACAAAGTACTAGGTACCGACCACCCGTTCTTCCCTCCCTTAGATGACAAGGAAGGGGAATGGCCTAGTGTGACGACCAACTACAAGGCCATTCACGCTACATTCGATAAAGATGGAGATGCAGCCGCAGCCGTGCTGGGAGGAAATGCAGCTCGGATTCTGGATTTGAATTGATTTCCGTTAGGAACTGTAAGAAAGAACACCGATTTCTATATCCATGAACAATTGGAAAAATATCCATTGATTCTGTGTTGGATACTGACATTTTCCTTGTTGGTAGAGCAGTAAATGCTGACAAATCTGCATTCACAGCTCTGAAGTGTTGCTTTTCACCAATATCTCCCATCCTAATAGCTTCCATACCTCTTGCGTGAACCAGTCTGGGACCGATTGATCAGGGCTCTGAGAAGGGAGTTGTAGATTGTGAAGATCTTCATCAGTCAGCGCGGGTCGCTCGAGTGAGCTTCCCCAAGTCGAATCCGTGCCAAAAACAGCCTGAAGCAGGGTGCATTGCAATCTCTCCTTGAGCGTTGCCGCGAATGATATGCTTTCGTCACTATCTCTGGATGCCGATGAAGATGATGAAGTGAAAACCTGTAATATGGCCAATGCTCTCTTTAACAGCCAGACTAGGCACTTTGCTTCCACCTGCGCTGAACACAATGACCTATCGTTGATGTCAAGTTCTGTCAAGCCTCTAGGGAGCGGAAGTTTTGCAAAGTCTGCACGAAGATCAGGTCGTAGCTTTAGATCCTGAAAAACGAACAGGCACAGCAATTTTCCGACGCGACTAAGTAGAATGAATAGAAACCCTTCTAGTAAATCTTGATGTCCTGCACACCCAGGGTTAAGTGAGGAAGCCATTACGTTTAGTAGTCGAACCATCTGCGTAGAAACCTCGTGATCGGTATTCATATTAGAACCAGGCAATTGTTTATCGTTGATCTTCTTGATGCTTGCTGCACGTTTCTGCTTGGCTGGCTGTGTCTGCTCGGATTTGGCCGTGCACCATTGTTCTAAAGCATTCATCGCTGATTCATACAGATGAATAATGTGGTAGATGACGCGATTGGAAGATTGCATGCCGTTCTCTGTTCCAGATAGAGTCTTTATCACCTGTAAAAGAAGTTGGAAAGCGCATTCGATACAGCGAAACACTTCAGCAGTCGTTGGCCCCTCAGTCCTCGTTGAGCCCTTATTCCTGGAAGCAGAAGGGGCCGCTCTTTTCTCGGAGACTACCTCTGATAGTTCATTTGCAGTGGTTTTGCATAGATTTACCGCAGCCTTAACAATTTCCAAGGCATTAGACCTCCTCTGAAGGGCTTTCTGAAGCGTATAATAATGCCTCATGAATGGCCCAGTAGCTTAGACAAAACCAGTCAGCGCAGCACACAAGAACACTAGGGTGACTACACAGACTAACACTCCTCCGTAAGATCTAGTCGATCAAGTTCATCCCATGGAGCTGGGGCATCATTAACCGTCTGCGTCTTGGCTCTTTTCCTTGTCGTTGCCCCTCTAGCGGCTTTTTCACTAACGGTTGCTTTTCGCTTTGATGACGACTGTTCCGCCTCGAGCGGGGTATTCTGTGAGTGCAACTTAGAACTAAGCGCTCCATTATGCCTTTCAAGGTCGTAAATGCGATCTAGAAGCTTGCTCTGCTCTGCTTCAGATTTTTCGTACGCCTGCCGCCAGAAGGAAACGCTGTCGAAGAATCTATCTTTATCATGGGTATAGGGTTTTTCTGCCTCCCGAGTGTCTTTGATATGTTGTCTGATTCTCAGAATGTATTCTGTAGGGTTTAATGCTTCTGGTGAGTAGATACAACTATGGTGATTTGATATAGGCTTTGTTTACCTCTGATATCCAAGTCTGCGGGTTTATGCTTGACGATGGCTATTGCAAGAGCCAGCTGTGCTGGGGAGGGCATAGTGCTGTCATCCATATTTTCTGGGAGTATTCTTTAGTGGTGAGGTGTATTCATTCAGGTGAGTAGTTCTTTGATACGATGTGAGTGAAATATACTTGAGAGCCATCAGACACGTGCTTTGGTATACATCA